ATGGGCAATGAAATGCAAGCTTCAATAGCTGTCCTGGCCTTTCCCTTACAATAGTATAACAAATACGACAACAATTGGCCCTTATCTGACAATTTACTCTCTATAAGGCTATTAAACTGACTAATGAAACGGTAATACTGACCCGGTTGCCCATCAAAGTACATCATATCGATCTTAGGTAAAACCATGTTACTAACCATTGTATGTAACGTGTCCTTCAGCTCCCCAACCCAATCGACCTTTGAGATGTTACATACCTCCCCTGAGTGATTATTACACCCAATATCACAATCCAAATAATCTTCCACTTTAGCATTTATCCCACATTTATCTACGGGTAATCGTTCATCGTCCTCGATGGCCTTGCATTCTAGTTCAGCGATATCAACCTGTTCTTGTAGATCTAACATCTTAAGTTGCCGTTCTAATTCAAGTCTCTTCTCTAAATTCCTTTTCCTCAGTGATGCTTTATCTAACTTTAATCTAGAAGTACTTAGCCGGCTAGAGGACATACTATTAAGACTAACATCATCACATTTATCATCATTAACATCAGACATACCACAAACAGCTTTGGAAGTTTTACCATCCGTTTCGTCATTTTCCTTCGGCCTTTTGCTCCTTGTTTCCATCGTATTTGTTGTTCCAAATAATCAATTACCAAGACAAATCTGAATTAATCCAAACAAACCGACAAATAAGACCAGGAATTTGGACCCAAAATATCCAGACAAATCCAAGGTATGAACACAGAACCAATAATTGAAGAACTTTATGTTACGTCCAAGTTTTGCTCGTTCCAGTTATTGAAGTACGGACTATCGATCTACTTGCAAATTACGAACCCAAATTAACAACAGAACCAATTTCCAATTTAGATACCAAATTTATTCGTAATTCACAAATAATCGACCAAATGTCGTCCTTCAATTGACAGATAATTCCCATTTAAACATCAAAATTAAAACACGAATTTCAGCGAAGGGATCTCTTTTCAACGAATTTATTATCAAGCTGTACAATCGTATATATATGAAAATTTTGTTTTTGTAAAAGTACTAATTCCGTGAGGAAATGTGAACACAGTTAATATAAAGGTTATAATACTAGATTACGTAATATGAATAATAACAATAACAATGGATTTAGTGAATACAATAAGATGATTAAAATGTTTTTATGTTATAATAGTTAAAGGTCATAGAGGTGTAGAAATAAATATGGTGATATGATGAGCATTTACGAATAAAACAATGAGAATATAAGACATAAGTAAAGGGGGAATGCAGTAATAATAATAATAATAGTAATAATAATAATAATAATAATAACATTAATGGTAGGATAATCAAACTAATTAAGGCCAAGGTAACGATAACGATAAGACGTACTTCTTTTGTACGCATAGTTCTGGTTTAAGCTCCTGGATGGCAAGAGCTTCGGCTATTTTTAAAAGTTGTATACGAAGAAATCTGGGTAGATCACACGTTAGGAGTTCTATTCTTGAACACCTAATCGACTATAACCATTCAACAGATCCACAAATTGATTTTAAGGTTGTGTATATGATTCGTTCAAATCTACCCAGATTTATTCGTATACAACTTTTAAAAATAGCCGAAGCTCTTGCCATCCAGGAGCTTAAACCAGAACTATGCGTACAAAAGAAGTACGTCTTATCGTTATCGTTACCTTGGCCTTAATTAGTTTGATTATCCTACCATTAATGTTATTATTATTATTATTATTACTATTATTATTATTATTACTGCATTCCCCCTTTACTTATGTCTTATATTCTCATTGTTTTATTCGTAAATGCTCATCATATCACCATATTTATTTCTACACCTCTATGACCTTTAACTATTATAACATAAAAACATTTTAATCATCTTATTGTATTCACTAAATCCATTGTTATTGTTATTATTCATATTACGTAATCTAGTATTATAACCTTTATATTAACTGTGTTCACATTTCCTCACGGAATTAGTACTTTTACAAAAACAAAATTTTCATATATATACGATTGTACAGCTTGATAATAAATTCGTTGAAAAGAGATCCCTTCGCTGAAATTCGTGTTTTAATTTTAAATGTCGTTCTAACAACAATAATTATAACAATTACAAAACAAACCTTCAATTTTGTAGGTTCCCGGAGCAAAACTCCCAAATACCAATCAAAGACAAAGAGAGCACCAAAATATCAAACCAAAGACAAACCAAAATGTCCGGAATAATGATATAAACAAACAAGTTCAAAAGTTAAGTAAAACAATTACATCCAAAAGCACAGAAAATTATTAATGTACAATAAAAGGTTTTAATCCGTCAAAAGTCTTCAGTTCTCCCGTAACACTTAGCTAGTGAAATGAACTTGTTCTTTTGATCACTTCTGATTACCACCGATTGACCTCATTAGGCTAATTCTGGTTGGCTCTCCATATCATCTTTCCCTCCTGAAAACTAAGTCTTTCTCCTTGGATTCAATTAGAAGCTTTGAGGGAAATGTAAACCTTTTTGACGATTTTCTTGGGGTCTGGCCTTTACTTCTTCCGCGCCGATCCTGATGCTCTGAACTAACTGTATCAAATAAATAATTTAGTTGCACGTTTCGGTTGGGAGGCTCTTTATCTGAACTTAATCGTCTGCCATGGATGTGATTAACATGTCTCCCATTAGAAGACTGGTGTTCAATTTTCCTAGCCTTGGGTTTATAATGTCGTCTCCCTCTTTGTGATTATATGCTATCAAGTCTGACTCTTCCTTTCGAACATTGACTCGGCAGGAGGGACATCGTTGGGTGAGGCTGGATTCGGGTTTATTTTGGGAGAGTTCATCGGTCGTCCTCTACCCTTGTGATCATTTTGAAAATCACTAGAAAATGTCTGTCTTTATTTGTGCATCATATGAGGATAGGAAGATACTTGGTTGCAAACAGGATGGATGACTGATCGAGCATTTTTGAATCTAGATTACAAATAAGAATAACTGGATAATCAGACATTTTAAATCTTGTGACCAAGTCGAGATCCAATAGATTGAAAGATTCGTCAGTGACACAGCATTCCGATTTGTTCACTTTCCACGTTTTGAGAGAAATCAAATTAACATTGGATGCAGTATCCAACTACAAAGTATTAATATGATCATCAACATTAATGAACAAGTACTTGTGAAAGCATTGGGGGTTAGATTTCGACAATACATGTATATAATTGATCCTTGTTGGCACTCTACAGCAAGATGAGGATTTGCTGCGTTTGAGAAATCCCTCACTAGGGACAGTTACTCCACGTTTTGTGCATTTATGTACGTTGGATCGGCAGAAACGGGAGGAATGCCGTACTTCATAGTCCCAACAGCTAGTGGAAGGCCCTGTAGAACGATGCGAATTAAAGTCACGGACATTATACATTTAATCCGGGCAAGGGGAATTTTGCAAATTATGTTTCGCCATATTAATAGAGCGATTTGAATGAGAATTTTTCATCAAATCAAGTGAATTGGGATTTAGACGTTCGATCATTTAAAGGTTATTCATAAGACTAATAATACGACGACATTCATTTGTGATATCTGTCCAGATAATCAGGAAAAAATCTTGAACACATTAGAATGTGTTTTACTGAAGTCTCAAATTAAACGTCTAGTTGTTTATTCATCAAGCATCACGAACTTTCATGTGAAACGTTGTCAAATGCTTGTATACAAAATTATAGTTTAGAGCATGTGATGCGGGGAGTTAATATTATGGTTGAAACAATGAAGACTGGTATTAGTCTGAACTACATATAATTCATTTTTTAAACAAAGAAAGCGAATTTTTCACTTTAACTCTTTTGAAAGTCAAGGAGAAAGTACCGAGTTTTGAATCCTGTGTGATTCAGTGCAAAAATCAATTCAGATATTAAATATCCATTATGAATCCACTAGCTCAAGATCTTGGAAACGATAGGAATGTGAGTACAATCAAAAGCTGACTCTTATTTTGTGTTACAAACGTATTAGAGTTTGTTAAAGACATTACAATGGTTAGACACTGGTGGAGTCTTCATAAATAGCTTCACAACGGCTACTGGCAAGACGCGTTTTTCCGTTATTAGAGAATATCAACTTGACCAACAAATGATTAATCAATTGAATAAGGGGACCCAGCTACTAGACACAACCATAATGCTTAGGACAAGAGATAACGATAGTTGGCACGGATTTCGAAACACTATTGTTAGAAAGGGTTAATTGTAATGTAATATAAATTGACAAAAGTAATTTTGTCAGGTTAGCATTATCGACTAATATCATGTTAACGAATAAAGTTGCTAAACAAGGTACCAGCATTCTCTGAAAATTAACTGTTAAGAAGATAAATCAGACCAAAACATGTTTTAAGTCGTATCACATAAATATATTTCCAACCAATTAACTGAATTAATATCAGTGACCAGTCAATAACTTCTCCTGAAAATGTTTTACAGTCACATTATTTTACAATTTATGTATATTTCATATAGAAAACGACTTTATATGATTTACAGTAACTTTATAAGCTCATTCAATTTAGATAACTAATGAAGTGAATGTTTACTACAAAATAAGATGTAATCTGAGTAGTTTGTACTTTTTTTCGCCCGAAATGTTTAATATATATGTTCGTCAAAAAATAGGGCGTTGTTAAGCTACCAGAAAAACATAATAGTTTAGAATAGTTAGTGTGCAGTAAAAGTTTTCCAATAAACTGTAGGGTTAGATCACACTGAACGATTTGCACTATTAACTTCAAAAATGAAAAAAAAACCCAGTTTTATTATACTTGACATTGAAACTGTTGATTGCCTTAAGTAAAAAACGTGCTATAGCTAAAATACGCTTCATAAAATACAACTTAAACGAGGAAATAATTTTTTATTTGGTTCTTCATCATAGTTGTACACCGATATATATATATATATATATATATATATATATATATATATATTAGACTGCCTGTCGAATAAATGTTGATGAGTAAATTAACAATATGTACCTCAATACTTACCGTAAAGATCATAATTGGTCAATTAGCTGAAGTTATATTTTTAATGTTCTTAATATCGACCAGATGTTTGAAAATTTTGTAGTTCTCCAATTTATTTCGATTAATAATTAACTTTTATCTGAAGGGACTAATCAGATAGAAAATTTGGAGCTTTGAAAGATATCATAAATAACTGATATTATTAAGTTTTTACTCAATTGTTTACTTATTGAAATGCTTATATTTTTATAAATTTGAAATGCAGTCAAAAGGTGAGCTTTACAAGATGTTGTCAGTAAGATTATAAAACGTCTATGTTTAGCTGACTATTATCTTCAATAGATTTTGTCAATTTATTACTCTAGTACTATGGTTTAAAGTAAAATTCAATTTAAGATATGATGATATAGTTAAGCCTCTACACTCCAAACACCCCAGCAGAAAAATTTATTTAAACTAGGGTAGGATTTTTAAAACAAACAGGTTTTTATTGGTTTTGAAGAAAATTTAAGTTTCTTATTTTATCCTTTCGACTTCATAGCTAATCTGAAGGAAAATAAATTCATTTATTAGACACTCTGCATGTAATAAGTGACGGATTTTTAGAACCCAGCCCAGTCGTCTATTTAGCCGAACTACCAGTCTAGGAATTGCATTGTAAACTTGAACTATGTAGATTAAATTTCATAGGTTGAAATCATGAGTCGATTGAAGCTAGACCACCATGGAAAACCTGGAAGCACTGGACAGCCGTTTCGTCCTGGTATGGGACTGTTCAGCAGTGCGCATCCACGATCCCGCACCACGCGGGGCTCGAACCCAGGACCTACTGGCTTCGCGCGCGAGCACTTAACCACTAGACCACTAAGCCGGCATCAACTGCTCACTAGTGACTGACTCCAGGAAAAACTCCTGGAGTTCTAGTGAGAAGCCGTTATCAGTGGAGTTCAACCAGGTCTGTTGTGAGGCAGCCATTCACTGAAGACATTGGTGTACGGTGGCGCAACTTCGTGGATTGGTTGAAGTTAGACATTAACACCGTTGGATACCGGCTCAGTGGTCTAATGGTTAAGTGCTCGCGCGCGAAGCCAGTAGGTCCTGGGTTCGAGCCCCGCGTGGTGCGGGATCGTGGATGCGCACTGCTGAACAGTCCCATACCAGGACGAAACGGCTGTCCAGTGCTTCCAGGTTTTCCATGGTGGTCTAGCTTCAATCGACTCATGATTTCAACCTGTGAAATTTCTAGAACTCTCCACAAAACCTATTCTGATATGTAGATTAAAGTTTGACTTAGATGATCATTCCAATAAGGTAAACATATTGAATACATATAAATGAGCCATTCTTGAGAAGAGACATACTTGTGAAATGAGCCTTATCACAATAATTATCCTGTTGTTTTCTTTAACTACTTTTTGACCAAACTTAAATGAATATTTTCGTCATGCTTATTTCCCTGTAGCCTATACTTCTACTAAACAACCACTACTTTACTAGTCGTCTGTAATGCAAGATTTATGAAATCTCAAACTATGACTCTTAGTAGACACATGAAACCTATCGTCATGCTAAAAGGTTTCCAGGCACTTTTTTAAACATGATATGTGTATTTATTGTGAGCTTGCAACTCCGTAGTAATGAACCTAGAAGAACCTATTTCATATTCATAAAAAAAAATAAAAAAACCCTGTTTTTACAAACCGAAATTTTCATTTTCTAATCTTTTACGTAGGAAAATTGCATCTTTACAATGCTTGATGAAAATTGTTTTGGTGTATTTTAGTTATTTTTAGCACATAAAACGATGTTTCGTAACGAGTTAAGTAAACTAAAATATGAGAAAATAATTTAAACCACGCCCTAAATGGGAATTAAATCATGGTAACAATGCAATTACATATATTTGTACCGTTATGGTTTTCAATTTGAGTTTCAGAGTTCAAGTTTATTTTTTTCTTATTACAGAAATTACCGTCTGCTTTTCCACTTACTTCTTTGCTCTTTGAATATTTTACTAACAAACTAACAACTACATCTTACCAAGAGTGGTTTAGTTTTTGAATATCTGATTGAATTGTTGATCTTATTGAGTATTTTTCTGGTTAAAAACCGTTTGTATTTCATGTCACTATAATAACTGACAATTACTTTGACAAATGAATAAATTCTCATTCAAAATGGACACTATTTTCTAATAAAGAGTTATTTAAACTACATTGAATATTATACAGCATTAATGAAAGGAAGATTCAACTGTGTTCCGTTTCATCATCTTACTCTTATTTTGAGGATAAAACAACTTTCATAATTTCATGGTGTTTGAGACGTATAAACGGTTAAATATGCTGACTGACATGCTCACTTAAACAAGCGCTTTTATTAACATTCATGAAAACAGGGTGATGATTTTCTATAATTTTTAAATTATCTGATATAAGTTGATTGATTTTAAGGAACTGTTAAACCTCACTTTATGAGTATCAGCTGATACTTGGTGGTTTCCTCGCCGATAGTAGCCTGTATTTTTTACTTAAACTGATAGAATACAAGAATGATAAGAATTTAATATATAAACGTGATATTGTATGTCGTCAATGTTTTGCTTCAGTCTGTCAGATGTCTTTAAGTTACATTAATCCTTAATAAGGGAATTCTTGAATTTACACCTACTGTAATAAATTCATTCACTATCTATTATCAGAAAACCGACAAATAAGCCAATGTACCGCAAATGTAGAAACGTCTTGCACGAATTATGATGAGCTTTTATGCTAATTCTTTGTTGGACCTTACCTACTTGTTTTTCACAAAATAGTTACATTAGAATATAAACAAAAGTGATCAATGAAATTGGACATTGTATTTTTCATAACATGCTAGTTACTCCTAAAACATTGTAATTTACTGATCCCGATAATCAACCACAATGTCTTGGTTATTCAGTAGCTAAAGAATAGGAGTTCCGACATAGAAAACTTATTTATCGGAAGGAATCGAATACACGATCATTGTAGTATAAGTGATTTTAGCTTACCAGATGTAAACGTTTCGAACAATCTCAAGTTGCTCAAATAGTTACATTAAGTACTAAGTGCAAAGTAGATACTTTATTTGAAAAGGCTATATTTCATGACTGCTTGTCGTTTATAAATCGAGTTATGTATTACGCTTGTGTGGATGTTTTGAAAAACTGAGTATCCAGATTACTGTTAGTTATTAGTTTGATAAAAGTTATTGCTATAAAATAGTTTTCGTTGTCGCATTTCCTAAAAGCTTTCAGGTTAAAAAACCTACCCTGAAACTTGACATTTGAATTTGACTAGAATTCTACATCTATAACCCATATCCAAAAAATTAATTTGAAAAAAATTTCAGAAAAAAGTACTAGATAAAGCTTTAGGATGACACTTTATCCTGAAATACAGAAGCTTCCAACAATTCATTAGCCTATATATGAAGGTAAGGATCTATCGCCTTGAAGAAGGGTTCAGGTATTCTGTTTTCCTAAAATAGTCACAGGGACTTATGCACTCAGAAAAGTTTACAGTGTCATCACGGTAAAACGTCCCGTAATTTCGACCATCTTTAACCACACTGTTTGCGTTTATTCTTTTCAGTTGTATGATTTACAAAGAGCAGAAAATTATTCATAATGCTCATCAGTACATTTATGTGGATTTTTGAGATATTTAGTGTAAACACATAATTCGCTTTGCATAAGAGTATTCATTGTCGCTTATTTCAAAATTTATCTGACTAAAACAAATGGATATAGAATGTCACAACAGCATTTTACTCTTGCTTCCAATGTTAGTAAGACTTCATTGTCGAATTACATTGGGTCATTTTGGTAAGTTCTAACAAACATTCAATCAATTGTAATGAAGTATAAGGCATATGTGAGTTAAAACACAAACTACTTACTGATTTGCCAGAAGTTGTTTTCAATACTTCATAATAAAATAATTACTGACTACATAAGACAATAAAAATGAAAATATGTTGGTGGCCATAAGTAAACTGTATTCATCTATAATTTTAAATAAGCACTTTTTCGTATAACGTTATATATACAAATAAGAGATATAAATCAGGTGTCGCGGTGAAATATCAATGCCTTCTTAACCAATAAATTCATCATTGCTATAACGATCATCGCGGTTGTCTTGTTTAAGTGTTTTTAGAACTTCTTCGAATGTATTACTACATGGTGCAGCTAGATCACATGCCCTTAAAGGAGATAAACATCTCTCAAATTCAATGGGTTCAATTATGATATCGTCCAGTAATGATGAACTTGAACGTTGATGATGCGAAGAATTTTGTGAATGACTATCAACTAGATTGAATGATACGGAATGACGACGTGGTGAAACAGAAACCTCTGGTATAGACTCAGGTATATTAAGTGTATAAGGTAAAGATCCTCTGGAACCTTTTGATAAATATGGTTTTAAATAACTAAATTTACTATTGAATGAATGAATCTTTTGATCAATATACATGTGAGATAAAAATGGAGGTGTATCATGTGAAGTCATCGAATCGTCTGATGAAATTTTACTATTGTCCATATTTACGTGTGACGATACCAGAATGAAAGGCTTCTGAGATGAGATTTGCTTTAGTTCTTCCTTGTTTCTGTTCATAACTCGGTGACGTTTATCATCAAATAAATTTGTAACTGGAAGTATCTATTGGAAGGTATTATCGTTTAGTTAAATTACAGATTTCTTATATGTTCCTTTTCATATCCAAACAGTACTACTATAATTTATGAGGGTTTAAAAAACTGCTTAGAGAATTCACAGTGAATGAAATTGGTAGAATTTTTCATATCAAATAGTTGATCTAACATCCGTAAATTACACACTCACAAACATACAAACATAAGTTTTCTATTGTTTTAACTATGTAGTGATATCCAAGGTCATTTCAAGTTGCTATTCTTTTACTCAACATTAAAGTGATTGGTTAATTGTTGTTCTAGTTGTGTACCCTCTACTGATAATAAAAAACGATAAGCAACATATGAGTGTACTCCGATTTCTTACCAATACCATAAAATACATACATCCTTAATAAATTATATATATATATATATATATATATATATATATATATATATATATATATATATATATATATATATTGCAGAACCAGAAAATACAACTGTGCAATTTACGAGGTTGCTAGGATGCAACATTTTATTTTAACAATAACCAAAGCTCTATATTTGTTGAGTTTTATTTAACAATTACAAATTGTTCAATAATTTACATAAGTTTTGAACTATTGTTTGAAGTTAAATAATTAATGTGAAAATACAATAATAGTAACGTAATTTCAATAAATACCACATTGAAAACGGACGAACTTTCAACGCGTTAAGCTTACTTCTTTTTTCCCATAAAATTTCATATGATCTAGTCAAGGGACGTAAACAACTGTTCAACACCTTTACAAATCGTAACAATGTTTGGTGTTTATTTCTAAATCCTTAGATTGACGAAACATAACATTAGGAAACAAACCAAACCAATTTACATGTGTTATGAATCATACTGAGATTAGATTGTTGTATAAAATGTTTCAAGCTCTCAATTAGCTTACTGGGATTTATTTTTTCAAAAAGATATGTTTAAGGATTTTTGGTAGTGTTATATTCTCCGTGTTTGACAGTTTTTCCATGAGCAATTTACTGTTTTTCTGGACCATGTTATCCAGAAAAGTTTCAAAATGAAATAACCTGCTAAATTATCTTCACAATCGATTATTAGCACGCGCTCTCGACTTGAAAATTACTGTCAACGATATTTGTGCTAACTTTCTCTAAATATTTTCTCTGTGTGTTAGTTACTTCGAGAAAAAGGATAAGCAGCCTTCAAACTTCCAAGATTCAACGTTCTTCCTTTCGTTATTGTAAATGATTTTCTCCGTTTGCTGATACCACCACAGCTCTGAGAATGATGAAAAACATCGATTACATCACGATCAGCTGTTAAATCAAGTTCCGTAATCTTTAGAGTAAATGAGTTTTGGATTAAGTTATTACTAGTTATTTTATATTCGCATCCCCCCCCACAAGTAAAAAGTGTGAAATAATGAAGCTTAGTATGAAAATCAGTTATCGGTGTAATTAAATAATAATCTGTTATGGAAAATGTCTTGCACAAAATTAATGTATTAGTGTTTAATAGTCATCTCATTTTATGCCATAATTTACCGACGTTTTGACACAATTAGTTCATTGGATGTTAGTAAGTGCACTGAAAACTATTTATCTGTAGCGAAAATGTGTTTCACTGTCAATAGTTTATAATTGTCCATTCAACAGACATTATATGGAGAAATATATATATCAGCTAACATTGGTTATTAAGATCAGTGTATCGAATAGTGAGTGTAAAGGAATAGATTATCAATATAGACTTTGTAAATTTGTATACAATGAACAATAACAGTATAATAACTATTGAGATATTGTCTTTTCCTGATATTTTAATGATGTAGTGCAGATAAGTAGGCTTCGTACTTTTACATTATTATGTGAACTAACTTTCATAAATATATCATCTTCCCTCATTGGGGAATTGAGTTGGCAACATGTGTTTATAGAATGCTATATATGATAATAATAATATATTTTCTTAAAATAACAGTTATACAATTCACGCCAATTTATAGGCATGATCAGCTCGATATAAATAGTGGCATTAAATGTAGGGAACAAACATGTGATATAAGATTGTTTAAAGTTTGATATTTCAGAAATTGTTTAGGTAGTACATTTATGAAATGTATTACAGCAATGCAATGCATCGGCTGGGAACTTTCAATCCTGCTTAAGTGGACATCCTATTGACTTATGAACGGTGCATTTAAGGTCATTTCCTGTGCCATAACGAAATAATTATAATAATGGATAATAATGGATACAGAGAGCACGGAAAAACGAAGCAATAATTACTGAAGTATGTCAGCCAGGTCTACCATAATGCATGTCATATGACTCAGTGATATACTGTTCATGTTAGATATTATTCAAATTAGTTAGGGTTGTCAGGTACGTTGTTAACGTAAAGTAAAGACGGGTGGACGGTTTTACTTAATGAACTTAGTGACAAGAATGGCTAAACATTTAAAGTTTCTATAACCTCACTTGTCGAATAAAATAAATTTACAGGTGCTAGACAATTCGATGTATTTTCAGAGGAGCAGTATGCATCAATGCAGTGAACAAAGGATGGGAGTGGTTTTATCTTACGGATAGGTTGTTGTAGATTAGTCTGGAGTCTGGAAAATGTACAGGTAAAGTAATTCACATAGAGAGATGATTTAGATGAGTTTGTTTTACTAGTGGCAAGGAGTTACGGATGTATGTAACTTGTATGTAACTTAGATAACACCTCTCCATTGGTGGTTAGATCTAAGTTGAGTGATGTATCACCGAAGGATATCCATCCATATTTAGCTGTATTAGGCTACAGCTACCATTTTGAGCACCACTATGCTGCCTTGCTAAGCTCCATGCCGATGCAATTTTGCATAATGTTCAGCTCATGAGGAGAAAATGAATACACTAATTTAATACCGGTTACTGATGAGGGACATAACTCACGAAACTATAGCAAAGAGACCTGTCATGACCTATTATTACAACCATCAAAGGTGATATTAAATTATGATTTAGCAACAAATAAACAAGTAGGGGGTTATTAACTAAAAAATTATTCATACTTTATGTTAGTTTCGTTTGGATTTTCGGTCATTATTCTCTCCCCAATCAACTTATTTTTCGTGTATGGCTTTATAGTACTTATTATTGTTGAGTAAACTAATGATAAATAAAAATATTGTTGCCATATCCCAGACAGTAGAAAATTAGATTTCTGACGTTTCGTGACTTAACGCAAGCCACTTCTTCAGAGCAAATCAATAACAGAAATAAAATTGACACAAGTTTCAATAGTGAAAAGGAAACAAGTGGCTTACATTAAGTCGCAAGACGTCAAAAATACAATTTTCTGCTCAATAAGATACAACAGAAAAGTACATAAATGTATTATTAACATTCTGCCCAATGCTCAATTTATTAGAAGCTATTAAGCTATTCAGTAACCTGCTCTGTTATTCATAACATCTAGGTGCATGGTGTGCCACAAGTTTATTTGTTGTGTAATATCATAGAACATTCATATACACTTACAACATTGACCGTATTATAAGAAAGGAGGTTTTGTGGAGATTGTAGTAATATAATAGTGGAATTCATGAGTCGATTAAAGCTAGACCACCACGGAAAATCTGGAAGCACTCGACGGCCATTTCGTTCTAGTATGGGACTCCTCAGCAGTACACACCCACGATCTCGCTCGTGGGAGTCGAACCCAGGACCTAACAGTCTCGCGCGCGAATTCGTAACCTCTGGACCAGTGAAGTTCAACCGTGTCCGCTGTAAGGCAGCCACTCACTGAAGACAATGGTGTACGGTGGCACAATTTCGTGGATTGGTTGAAGTTAGACATTATTACCGTTGGATGCCGGCTCAGTGGTCTAGTGGTTAATTGTTCGCGCGCGAGACCGATAGATCGTGGGTTCGAATCCCGCGTGGTGCGGGGTCGTGGATGCACACTGCTGAGGAATCCCATACTAGAACGAAACGGCCGTCCAGTGCTTCCAGGTTTTCCATGGTGGTCTGACTTTAATCGAATCATGAATTCAACTATTAATTTACCGTATTTATTATAATAATTACCTTCTCGTAACCGTTGTAACAATTATTTCCAGTTTTGTACATTCCTCGTACCTTTGTCTAAACCAAACAGTTTCCATATTTGTTTGCACTTAGTTCCGTGTTTGGTTGTTGATTAGACAGAGCTATACGCTGTCGTGCGTTGTAATTAGTCTTTATGTTATTATTACAGGAAGCCCTCTAGCTATCATTATATCCTCCTTTTTTATTGTTTAGTAGACTATTAATTGTATTTGTATATCAACGGTGTTGATTCATGTCTAAGAAACAAAGTTTATCAAGTCAAATAGCTTGTCTTGACTTGGCTTAGCTAGCACAGTGTTTGATAGTCTAGGGATTAGTTTAGAATTGCTCCTGCAAGAAATTACTTCCCACGTTAACATTTAACAATTGGCCGTGATTATTGTCTGATTGTTATTACGACCTTTTCGTTTTTCGTTTCCCTTCATACTCGTAAATTACTCTCATCCTCCTATTCTTCTCTAAGCCCCTGATCATTACGCAACCCCTTTTGTTAGTTTAAATTCTGAATCACTTTATGATACATTCTTTCCTATCTTTCTATGGACTAATATGTTTACCAAACACCTAAGGCACGAATGTGTAGCTTAAGTAAATAATCTCGTCAAAAAATAATTTCCGTTTCTGCTTTATCTTTATTTCTATTTGATGACACAATGGGCTACTTTAAATACTTAATTTATTATAGCTTTGTATTCTCCTGCTTACAAGTTATTTCATGATACATAAATTGTTGTTCTATAATGTACCTTTTTTTAACTTGATCATAATTCCACCGTATGATATCAAATGTATAACTCACAAACTTGAACTTGAGTTTCTTTGCCTGCTGTGCTATTTTATATTCTGTTATTCAGGTGAGTGAACTCCGTTCTGTATAAACAGTTGTTCAGCTTTGATTTTGACTTTTCTCACCATTATCATACTGTAGTGAACAAGACCAGGAGTGGGGGTAATCGAATGTACTTAAGCATAAAATTACAGAACGCCATACTAAAATCTGAGAACAATACAGCGAATACTTCATTTGAAAAATGTCAATCCATTGTCTCAAACTTGACTGTTTCATTTGCAAATATCAGTCCATCGTCTCAG